AAAATTTATAAAAAGTAATTTCCCCCAAAAAATGATTAATTCACAGAAAATTTTTTAATTGTGAAATACATAAAGCCAGGTTTACCATAGGTACCAAAAATCCACCCCGTGGAACATCCAATTTTCAAGATTTACCCGCAATTAATATTAACGAATCGGTAAGGAGAAACTTTCTCTAGGGTTTTTACTCATTTAATTTAGTTCCGTCACTGTAAACCGCGTCTTTTTTTTTTTTTCCTTGTAGAAAATCCTGTGTACTAGGGAATATTAACTTCAGTTCGGTAAGAAAAACTAATGGAATTTTGCTTTTTTTTAAGTAAAACTAAGATATATTTTTGCTTGTCTTTAGCTTTCAAGTATTCCACTTGACATTCCCCTGCCAGATGCCGGAGCGGCTGTTGTGATCTTTATCTGAATTAGTTTTTGTAAAAATATTAAAATAAATAAATAAATAATAAAAAAAAATGCTACTTTAACAATAAATATTGATAGTGGCATACCAGTATTTAAGATTGCTAATAACATTATTGTAATCGCATTTTTTAATTTATTAAATGTTTACACGTTAGTTCTTTGGCTGATAAATATGATTAATTAATACCAACTTTTTACTGATTAATCCAAAAAAAATTTCTTTAAAATAAATTATAACATATCGACCAATTATATGATCGGCTTGCTTGCGATAGTCCTCAAATGTTACCGTTTCCTAATAAGACAAGTTACGACAAAAACAAAGTTAAGGTGACAGAATTATATCTTCGGAATTGATGTCTTCCGACCCTTCGATCCAATAATTCAAAATTTTTTTGTAGTTTAGGCGGATTTAGTTCTACAATTTACAAGTATTCTTGCTTAAGCAACCAACGTTCCGGCGTTAAACAGTCAACCCAATTCTGAGATTATGACTATCAATGTTCAACACCATAGCTTTGTAATTTTGAACCCAATCCGGAAGATAACTGAACTCCTGGATCAAGAATGGGGGCAAACTAGTTTACGTGGAAAAAATTTTTTGATGAAACTAACCCGCATTTGCGTTACATGGAGAGGAAAACCACAAAACCTCCCACTTAGCCCGGCGGCAAGGAGTTTCTAACCCATGATCCGTCTACCACTGAGAATATTTTATGTCAGCATTGTGGTCTGTGTGAGCTTGGAGCAGAGTTCGTCAACGCAGAGCAGCCAACGCAGAGATTCAAATCTGGGTCACCTCAATGAGAGGCGAAGCTGTATTCCCTGAGCCACTCCGGCTTTGCNGTTTACACGTTAGTTCTTTTGCTGATATACTGATTAATCCAAAAAAAAAATTTCTTTAAAATAAATTATAACATATCGACAAATTATATGATCGGCTTGCTTGCGATAGTCTTCAAATGTTACCGTTTCCTAATAAGACAAGTTACGACGAAAACAAAGTTAAGGTGACAGAATTATATCTTCGGAATTGATATCTTCCGACCCTTTCGATCCAATGATTCAAAATTTTTTGTAGTTTAGGCGGATTTAGTTCTACAATTTACAAGTATTCTTGCTTAAGCAACCAACGTTCCGGCGTTAAACAGTCAACCCAATTCTGAGATTATGACTATCAATATTCAACACCATAGCTTTGTAATTTTGAACCCAATCCAGAAGATAACTGAACTCCTGGATCAAGAATGGGGGCAAACTAGTTTACGTGGAAAATTTTTTTGATGAAACTAACCCGCATTTGCGTTACATGGAGAGGAAAACCACAAAACCTCCCACTTAGCCCGGCGGCAAGGAGTTTCTAACCCATGATCCGTCTACCACTGAGAATATTTTATGTCAGCATTGTGGTCTGTGTGAGCTTGGAGCAGAGTTCGTCAACGCAGAGCAGCCAACGCAGAGATTCAAATCTGGGTCACCTCAATGGGAGGCGAAGCTGTATTCCCTGAGCCACTGCGGCTTTGCCGAAAAAATTTAACTCTTTTTACGCTACCGCAAACCGAACAATAAAATCTATGATTTATTATTATTATTTTTAGTTTATGAAACTTTTGTCCGGTTGCGGTGGCAATAGATATTGCAGTCTTCTTTCCTTAGGATGATAATTCTGTAGACAACTTTGCCGCACTACCGCTAAAGATTTTAAATACTTCTGCTTTTTCAGCTCTCCCTCTCTTATGTAACATCTTCTGGGCGCACTTAATCTTTTTCATTAGTACAAGTTAGTGAACATCAAAATGTCTATCTCGATACTCTCGAAATACCATGAAGCAAACGATAAGTTCGACTTGGAATTTTTGTAGACATGGATTCCTGTAAGAACATGTTTTTCGGATATGTTAAGGGAAAGGAAAAGAAAGAAGAAAAAAAATCCAAGGACTTCCAGGGTTTCTGACCTTCCAGGAATGTGGGATGCTGTTGTTCTACTTCCTATAGTATGAGAGGAACAAAAGCAAAAACCATGTCCCCCAAGCACTGACGACACTGTTTTGCGGGAACTGAACTGATTTCCAGGAAGACACTATTCTATGCACTCTCCCTGGAACTTCACTGCCCATTTTCTCAAGGGGGGTGGAGCGTCATGCTGACCTTTTGAAAGGTTAGGCACACATAGAGTGATAGTCCATCAATCTCACTTTCTTAAAAGAGAAAAGATTGTAGAAGATTAGCTTTTTCCCAGAAGCCAAAAGGTGGTAAAAGTGCGAATTCATTAGTACATAATAAATACTCTTAAATGTTTCCCTCATGTTTGAATTTGAATAGTGATATATTCCAGATTTATGTCAATATCATCCGATTTTTTTTTTTCTTTCTCTGGGACTTTCTTATTTTTCTAATGCGATTAGGTTGCTAGTTGAGATATTAAATGAGTGGTTGTTGAGTTCTGGTTTGCTACAGTGTGGCGAAAGTTTATGAATCATCCGTTGATATTGGCGATTTTCATCTAAAGTATACTTATTACATCTAAGGTATATAGAATTAATTCCGTGCAAAAAATAAGTAATAATAAATAAAATAAATAAATAATAATTTATTTTAATATTGAAATAGAATGAGGAATTTTTAGGAGTAAAATTTTTTACACCAAAAAGTAGTTTGAAATAACAAAATTCACATTTAAAGAGGTTTAATTACGTTTTTTTTTTGTTCGATTTCTTAACACAAAGTATTGTCTAAACTATTTACTAAGCATATTTAAGGTTAAGTCTTAGAACCTAAGTCTTAGTTATAAATTATTTTCATTATTTATTAATATAAATGACTAATTTAAAAAACTGAGTCACAAATTTTTTTTAGACCAAGTTTTTATTTATTAATTTATTTTTATGATTATCTTGTAAATTGAAAAGCATTTCAATGCAGTATTTTGAAAGACAATGAAGCTGTATGCATATTTATGAATAGTTTAAAAACAAGCAATATCTCATTATATCACGAGATCATTATAAAAAATTCTAAACTCGTAACTATGCTAATGGGCATTGTTTTTCTTCGGGGCAATAATCATTCTCTTGTGGTTAAAGGCAAGACCTGTAATGTTTGTGGAATTTATCATTTTCAAAATCCACTGAATTGGGAAATCTTCTATCTTTGTAAAAGTCGGAGTGACTGATAACATTGAAAAGTCCTTTGCTTAATATAGCGTTTATTATTTTTGTTTGGAAAATATGAAAGGAAAACTAAAAAAATGAACGAAATATATCTCTTTTTAAAATCACATAGCTTTGTTAAAATTTAGTTGTTTATTTATTAATTTATTTTGCATTTTTCTTGCTTTATTGTAATTATAAAAATTCAACTTTGGAAATAACCTTCGCATTTAGACATAATATCAATATTTAGGTATTTTATATCAAATATTGATTTTTATTTGGCAAAAAAAGGCAATTAATTTCAATTGTAGCTGCGAAATATAAGATAATAGTTAAACAAACTAGCCCGTTGTCGATGCCTTAAACGTATGGATAGAAAACATTTAAGCGAAATATTGTATTTAAAATGAAAGAAAATAATAAAAGAATTAGTTTTGAAAAAATAGTTTTAAAAGAAAAAGAAGAAAATTATCTTTATCGATGTAAAAACCGAAATAAATGATTTTTTAAATTATCATACCTTTTATTCGACTTGGCGTAGAAAACTCAAACGATTTTATAAAAATAAAAGTTCATAGTTTTATTTTGCATAAAAAAAACAGAACGAAATTTTAGATTGTCAGGTACTTTAAGTCACCAAATAACGTATAAGAATTTCAAATCTGTTTCTTTCAATTCCTTTTTTCAATCAAAAATTATATATTTTTTTCTTGTTTATTTGGTATGTGTAGTGATATCTTTCGCTGTGTTTAGATGGAAATTTAAACGTGTCCATTTGTATCTTATTCGGAAAACTTGAAAAACCTTCCAAGGTACTGCTTGTGTTATTTATAAAATTCTCAGATATCTTTATGGGAATAAATTTGTTTATTTAAAATTGTTTTAATTGGAGAAAAAATCATGTTTTTGTTTGATACCTGTCTATATCTTTTTAGCAGTGTCTAAGCATAAATTAAAATGTGTTCATTTGTATCTTATTCAAAAAATATAACAAACGACTTCAGGTTTTGCTTGTGGTACTTTTTAAGTTGCCAAATAACGTTATCGGAATTTAAATCAGTTTCTTTCAAACTCTCTTCAATTGGTAAAATATAGTTGTTTTGTTGATGCCTGCAGTGAAATCTTTTCCACAGTGCCTAACCCGAAATCGAAACATGCTTATTTGTATCTTATTCAGTAAATTTAACGAACGACTCAAAGAACAGCGCTTTTTAATAATTAAAAAACTTCATATGATTTTATTAAATCCGTACCTTTCAAACAAAAATATCAGTAAGTCTTTTTTCTTCTTAATTCTAAAAAAAAAATTGTTTATTCAATATGTGCAGTGATATCTTTTTCGCTGTACTAAGGCGGAAATAAAAACATGTATGGTATCCAGAAAACTAAACAAGCGACCTACGCTCTCTGAAATAGCTAATAGATTAAGTATACCTTTCTCAGAATGCTTCCTTTTGTGTACATCCAATTAAGAATAAGATTTCACCGGAAGAGCAAGAAGGCTTTCGCTTTCCTAATTAGGTTGAACTTACTGTACAACATAGGCCAGGTCTGTAGGCGTTCTAGTAGTGAAAAGATGTTTTCATTGAAAGCCTCTAAAAAGTGGCGCGGAAGTAGTAGTGTAAGAGCAGCTATTACCAAATTGGGTTTCCTGGAAAAGTTAAAGGGGTTTCGAGAGTTAGGATGTATGTTTTAACTAGGAACTTTTAATTACAGTTGGATCCAATCACAATAATCCATTGCTTATTTCAAATTTTGATTCCTTTTATGAACTTCTTTAAAGAAAAACATTGATGAAAAGGAAATGGTTAATTTTTTTAATAAATAAAATTTTTCTAATTGCAAAACATTGAATTATGAACAAAAGTCATACATTTATAAAAATTTTCATTATTGTTTTCAATATTGATGAAAAAGTGTTGGTTAATTTTTTTAATAAATATAGTTTTTTTAATAAATATAATTTTTCTAATTATAATACATTGAATAAATTATGAAAAAATCATGTATTTATAAAAATTTTCATTATTATTTCCCATCGCGCTTTTCATATAATAAAAATAACGAAATTTGGTAATAAAAAAAATATGTTTTCCTAATGACGATTTTCAACGTTTACAACAGCTCTTTTTAGATCTCATTGGCAAAAAAAAAAGGGGGGGGGAAACATATTGCTGCTAATTTTATTCATTTTTAGTTACGAACATAAATTATACCAAAAAATTTTTTTATATCGAGACTAGATTTAGCTCCGTGACTTTGAATTTAACTGTCGAACATAAAAACTGACTCAAGTTTATTCCTCTTTCCTTTTATTAAGTGTTTCTAAAATAATGTCTTTTTATTGGTTGATACGTTTGCAATTGTCTTTGTTTACGTTGTTCCGCCGAAGGAAAGTTAATTATTTTGAGTTCCATTGCTGAAAAGAAAAATTTGGGAATCGCTTGTGTAGACACCCCTGTGTCCTCTAATAATGAATTAAAACTTCATTTAACCAAGTTTTTTACAACTTAAAATCTATATTTCTAAAAAGATGTGTATGTCAAAAAATTATCCTGTTTCGATTGAAAACTAACGCTTAATAATGAGTTATTTTACCGTAATTATTTTTAGGTACATATCATTATAACAACCCTTATTAGGAATGAATCTTGATATAGAGAGTGAATGAAGGAAGAAGGGAAGAGAACAAATGAATTAGAGAAGGGGTGGTTCAGAGAAATGACGTTATTAGTGAATTAGCAAATAGTCAAAAGTTAAAGTCAAATTTTCTCTATTTCCAACTGCTTAAATCTCTTTGGAATTGCTTTGACACTCAAATCAGTTGGCTGTCGATAAGAAATATATTGTTTTATCTTACTATAAATTAAGTGAACAATAATATGAATTAAAAAAAATTATGATACTTCTGCTTCAGTTAATTCAACAGTTTTCTTTGATTTTATTTTTTGTTTATGCTCAACATAACGATAATAATAATTTAAATTATTAATTCCATGCTATTAAAAAATGTCAACTCTATATGTATGGTTGTCAATTTTCTTATACATATTTCAGCCTTTAAATCTGTTTTATTTATTATTATTTTTTTTTAGGGTAACACAAAATCGAATCAAATTTCTAGATTTACATTTATATATAAATCATTACTTTACATTTATAGTTGAACGTCGATGAAGAATTTAGCGTGTTATCTTTATTTAAATAAAATATGGTATGGCTTTAAATTTTACGATTCTTTTTTTTTTCTCCTATGCCCACCCATAATCTGTATAAATTATTAGTAAATCTTATTAACTCTATAATTCTTATAAATTCTAAAAATTATTATTAAATCACCAGTATTAAATCTGTATAAATTTATATACATATATATTTTTAGTGTATCTGTATCACAAAAAACTTAAAACTAACCATCGAATCAAGTTTCTCACAGAAAAAGTTTCTTGAAAATGCGACCACCCTAAATTTCGAAGAAACATTCTCAATGCCTACCTCAACCATAACAAAGTAAATCAGGTATTCTAAAGTGAGGTAATTTCCGAAAATTGAACAAAAAGAACCCCCATCTCCCTTGCCTAGACTGGTTCTCATTCCCAAGGGGGTCACGTGGGTATGTCCGCAGTCAGCTGTGAGCATGACGAGTCGGGTTTACTATATTCTCATTCCGTTTCCCCACGTGTCTGCAGACGATACCTCTCTCTCGAACGCATGGTAAGTTTTAGAACTTGAATTTATGTTCCAAAATTGCAAATTAATGTTGTATTGCAATTATTTTATTTATCATAAAAATCAGTATTGAGTACTATTGATATTATCTCATATTTTAATCGAATTAATATTCGTTTACGGTTCCTTTAGCTTCTTTTTTTTAATATTATTTATTTCTTTATCTGTCCGAAACTTTTTATTGTGGCTATTATGCTAATTGCAAAGAGTAATCATGAATTTTCAATCAATCTTGCAATACCGCTAACATCGTCTGCTAGGGTCTAGGGATCTATAAATTATTAACTTGTGTAATTATTGCCCACGTGTTCTTGATTTATGTTCACATAGTGTCAATTAATGTTCCATTCTTTTGTTCTTTATTTCTTTTATCTTAAATTATCTGTTTTCAGCTATATTTATTTTATATCATTAAATTTGAATAGAATGAATCTATCTTATAATCATTCTTTTTGTATCGTTTGCTATGTTACCAACAGCTTCGTTGCAATAAATTATTAAGTTACTTATTATGCTTTTTAATGTCACATATTTGTTTTGTACTTTACCTTTCAATTTCTCAATTTTTTTATTTCTTTGATGTTGTTACTAAGTACAAGACTGAGCTTGGGTTTTCAGTCGAACTTACCTCTGATACCGGTACATAATCTCACTCCAATGTATGAGGAATGTTTTGTTTATCAAGATCACTTCGCTTTTATCGCATTTTATAGTGATTGTCGTACCAATAAAACAAATTTATGTGTCATCGCACTGTTTTGATGTGTAAAGTTAAATGTTTTCTTTATCGTATAATTGCTCACGTGCTCTTAATTTATTTTAACATCTTGTTAATGTTAAACTTTTCTTGCTTTGAATTATATGCAATATTGATTTTATTAAATATGTTATTAATTAATATAATATTAGTATCTTCTCTCACGGTACCTGTAACAGTCGCCGTAGATTGTTTTAAAATTTTTACTTATTAAATTTTATAGTGAATTGCGAATTTAAAGTATTTTTATTTAAATTCTTCATTTTTTTTCTTCTCTTTTCAATATGGATTTTTGGATTATCTTTCTAATCTCACTGATTTGTTTACGCTACTTTGATATTTTAAAGCTATTTGTTTTCTTTATGCCTAATTGCCCTCGTGTTTTTAATCTATGTTTTTATTCTGAATTTTTCTACTATACAATTCTGTTAAAGATTAATTAAATTAGTATTTATTTGTTTTATTGCGGTATTTGCTTTGCGTTACGCATTGAAAAATTATAAATCTATATAAATAAACAGAATGTTTGCATCTATGTGCGTGTTTGATCGCAATTTTGAACCTATCTGCACCAAACTTGGTGTAAATACATTCGACGTCACGGTAGCTTAGTTTTAATTTTCTATTAATTATATTGGAAGATTATATAAGATTTTTAAAAAAAAGAAAGAAATATAGCAATTTCTATAGATTCAAAATATTTACCAATATTCAAGTGTTAAAATGAATTTAAACAACATTCTATACTCAAACCCAGGGTTGGGGTTTTGGACAGGACACATGGGTTTTACTGTTCTAAACTGACTAAAACGGTCTTAATGTGTCCAAAGGTAAAAATTCTATACGTGTAACATTGTACACATAATAATTACATATAAATATTTGATACTTTTTATACAATTTGCTCAAACTTATTGAAAGAAAATAATATAACAGGAAAAGATTTATAGCTTTCGACTATCCACAATTCATTGAGCAACAAAAGTGAATACCTTATCCCTTAAATATGATGTATATGCTTTTAATACTGATAAATTATGTTTTTGCAGAAGGATAAAGAATGCAATATTAAAAATAATAATAAACTTTTTTAATGCAACAAAAAATTGTCTTCATTTTGTTTCTTGTTCAAAAATTAACATTCACAATGCTTTTTTTAAATTATGACATAATTTGAGCAAAAGGGTTTTAGACAGTTTAAGACAAAGGGGTTTTGAACAAGACCGATTAAACCGTGGATTACTCCATTCTGTCCTAAACTTTGTCAACTCTGTCAAACCAATTACCAAGTTTAAATTTAATAGTTTTATTAGACTTCGAAAAATCTTGTGCGCACGATGAAAAATTTTAATTTGAGGATAATGGATTTAAGGACAAATCTTTGAATAAATAACTTTTAAAAAAAACTTGAGTTTGCGTATGGTTCCAATATAGAAAATGAGTGTGTTATTTTCTGCTGTAAGTGAGTGGGTTTAATTATTTATGTTGAAACATTGAAAGATTTTTCGTATCATCTTATACTTGTCTATTTTTTCAGAATTAAACATGCTGTAACAAATTTTTTTTCCTTCAAAAAATTTAACATTTTGTTATGAAAAACTCTAGACTCCTTAATTATTGTCTTACTGTCACTATCTATAATTTATAGATTAATCTCGTATCCTGTTGTAGTATCTTGATTTCGTGTTGTATTTGTTTATAAAATCCATTTATTGAAAATGACAATTTTTAATTTAATATGTAAGCATGACTAAATAATTGACCAAAGGAAAATAAGTAAATATAATACTAGACAATATATTAGTTTTTATTTTGAGAATGACTAACACTAATCGATATTTAAAATTTATTTTTCTTGCTAGGGGCTGTTCATATATGTAACGTAAGCATTAAACAGTAATTGAGATAGGATTGTTTTTTGCTGATAAAGGGGGTGGAGTGTGAGACATTAATATAAAAGGAAAAGAAACACAATATAATTTCAAAATATATGGAAAATTTTTAAACTTGAAATAAAAGTTGAAAAAAAAAATATTCTAGGAAAGTTTCAAACACAGAACAAAACAAAAAAAAAAGATTCCCAAGGAGTATTTTCAAAATTTTATAAAATTAAGTGAAACACATTTTTTTTTTATGAAAATTTATATTATTTATTTTAATTTAATTTTACAATTAGAGTACTGCACTAAAAACCCAAGTTAAATAAAAGAACAAAAGGAATAGCGACTCATAGTAAACACGAGAAGGAGTTCGGGATTTGTTTATTTTTGTAGATAAGGTGGAGTCCCAAATTACGAAATATATGGTTACGTAATGTTTGTACAACCCCCTGTTGGTAGTTTAATGAGTAAAATATTTTTGAAACATGTTTAAAAAAGAGAATATGCGCTTTCTGGATATTTCTTATTTCATAATTATTTTTTATCATCTTTATTGTTACATCTACTACCAATAATTCATATTTATTTAAATCTTGTGAATTTAATTAGTGTGCTTTTGATTTTCCCCGAAATGCTAAACCTAATGGAAGATAAAAATACCCATTCCATTAAAGTTACAAGAATACCTATTTATTCCCGCTAAGAATGTATCCGAATGGTTAAATAACGAATAGAGATTTCTGCGAAAACTCAACAACCTGACCCTTTACGAACACCGAGTTTCCAGAACTCGCCCAACACAGAGAGAACATCCTAGGGCGTTATAGAAATATCGGAATTCTATCAGCACGATTCTCAGAAAGTATTAAAAACCAACTCTCTAATGCTACAGCACTCTTGCGCGTCGACCAGGGAAAAAAAAGCCAGGCAGAGTAAATATTTTTTTTCCACTCCATTCTATTTTTTGTTGCCTTTCATTGACCGTTTCTGGTAATTCTTCAATTCAGTAGCTTTTGGCGTATTTATATCACTCTTGGCGCCGTGTCGTGTTATTGATTTTATATTTTGGATTCAGTGAACCCCAATAATGTATATTTTTATATAACCGCTTTACATCATTTATTTTCTAAGTAAATTTATCACACATTACTTAATCACCAGGGGTATTATCTTTTTTTATCTGCTTTAAAAATAAAGAAGTTCTTAGAAATTTTAGTGCGAAGGAGAACAAGACGTGTAAGTACAACTTGTTTTTGGCACATGTCAAAAACAAACTATCTTTGAAGTACTTAAGGGAATGGATTTTTGGGTAAAACTCTTACTTTTTACCAGTCAAGATCTGATGATGCAAGATATACTACGCGGAGATATTCTGTTTAATTGGTTAATAATGATATTCGTGATGTTGACTGGGAAATTACTGTAAAAACAATTCGAGTTTTGAAAATTAAGTTTTTCTATTTTGTTACATTTCTCTAGTGCCTTTTATATTTGTCTACAATAAAGTAAGAAGAAAAATTAGTCTTGATCAAAATTTAATTTTCATTTTAAAAGTATTGAAATGTTTATTGCAACCCTTGCTTTTGATCAGAATCCAAATTTTTTCTTTGACTCTTTGTGAGCAAAACCAACTAAAATAGGCTCAGTAGTCCTGCATAAAGTATGTCCAGAGTTAGACCTACAGGTTTCATTCCCATCAGGCTAACCCAACACCTCCCAGAAGAAAGAAGGCCTCAGATCAATCTAGCAGTCCGACGTAACGGACATAAACTGCGCGGTGGATGAATTATAAGAAAGTTGTCACTACTTTCGGGCTACTAGGCTGCGCGGAAGTGGTAAATGCGAAAGATGTCATTACGTTTGGACTACTAAATGATCATATTTCTGGTTTATGGTAACCCGTGCTGATTCTAGAAAGTATTGGCTAACCGGGATAAGATTTAAAACTATAATCGTTCTGACAATAAAACTGCCGCAATAGCATTCGAAACATGTAAAATACAAAGCTCTAACACTATCAGAATTTGAGTATTGAAGCGCCCAGGCTTTATTACTATTTTAACAAAATAATACCAATACATTTCTAGAATCGACATTTTTTGACAGGTAGTTTAGTATTATACATTTGACCGTTTTTAAATTTTTGAAAAGCATCTTTCTTCTTATTGAAACTATATCAATAACAATAATATCGATAATATTACATTAATATTATTTAAATCTATTTTTTTCCATTTTAAATATAGGAGTTAGTTTTGATAAGTCCAAAAATAAATAATTGAACGGTATTATACAATCCATCCAAAAAAATATTAATGTCCCAATTTTATTGCTTTATACATTTTAAATAGTATAATTAAATACATAATATGGCGAGTTCTACTCAAATTATGCATTTTATTCAAGAACCTTTTTTTGAAATTTGATAGATCTTTTCAACCTGATCGTAGTCGAATTCCTGGTAGAAAAAGAAAGGCACTTTTTATATTGCCGAAGAAGAATAAAGGGTGGTCGTATTCACCTATCACAAAATAACCGCCAGCATTGTTCATATGTTTGAATCATTTGGGGGATACTAAGAAAAACTACGAACGATGCTTTCGTAAAAGTTGAGTTAGCAGACTGGAAATCCATAAATCTAATCCGTGCCACTGACACATAAAACTCCTTGGATGAAGACTATCTGGTCTTGCATCTTACTTCTCTTTTTTCTAAAATCCATATTATTTGGCTTGACGTAAATGATTGAAATAGTGTATCATTCATTCTCTCGTCTTTGTCGCCGGGGTAAGTAATTTAATTTATTTGCAAACAGGCTCTAAAAATTAAAAATAAAATGATCAATAAATAGAGAACTGTGTCATAATTAACGTGTCGTACTTTTTATAGCTCAGATCAATGGTTGAGAACGGTCTATTATTTTACGTCTTGTTAAAATCATCACAATTTATTTAAATTTTAATGACTAATTTATAAAAATAACATGAAATAGGAAAAAATTTAAAAAATATGTCCAAAAAATAAGTTGATCACCAAAACATCTCATGTGATCAACTTACGCAGATTTAATTTTCATTAATTATTAAATAAATAAATTTTTAAAAAAAAAACAGCTTTCATATGAACAGAACTGATATCCTTATTCTGTCGGAGACCCTTAATTTATTTATAATAAATACCAAAATCCCTAGTACTCTAAGAATAATTTGTACTTATTTCATGTCGAATTTTAAATATACCTTATCTTAATCAAGGTAATGAAATGGCACCAAGTGTAATAAAAAATTCATTATCGAGCAAAACTTTTAATAATATTTATTTTGATTATTTTTTTTCCAGAGCATAAGTATCTTTTAAACAGCCAATTTTTTTTATTAATGTAATCGAAAAATAACTATCTGTAACATGATACAGTAGTTTTGCAATTTCATTGAAATAAAAAGTTAACCGTTACGTTAATTGAGAAAGAGAGAAATAATAGAAATATTTGCATTCGTTGTTTAATATCAATTAATTTTTTTCAAATTTAATAAAAATTAATTGATTTGTTTCTCTAGAGAAAAGTAATACAAATAATTAAATGCGAATATAAATTTAAGAAACAAATGGAAATTAAAACATTAAGAAGCATGTAATTAATGTACGTAACAAACTTGGATAGAAATTTATGTTTTAGTATTGGCTGATGATATTTGCTAACGCTATGAACGCTAAAATAGAAATTCAAAAAACTGATGCATCAAAATTTATTTTTGAATATTTTTTTCTAGTATGTAACTTACCATATAAAAATGCGAAATTTATAAAAATTTCAATTTAGAGTTTTTTGGTCACTTACATTGATTTTTCAATTGCACAACAGTGTGGCTTTTCTCCCTATTTTGCGCCATTTTCAGAATTAGCATAGAGGGCGCTGGCTAAGGCATAGCTTGAGCTCAGTTATGAATAACTGTTTCGAACTTACAACAGTTATGTAAATATGTTGCACATTATTCGCAAAAAATCTTTCTTTCCTATGTCGACAGAGCTTTCGAAAAACTGTTCGAAGAATCGATGGAAATTCGACCACTGAAGTACGAAAATAAAATTCTTGCTGACTTTGTATTAGAAGTTAATAGTTTTAAATCGCAGAAAAAAACACCCTTTATTACAACAAAATATTTGATTATGACTTTTCAAAATCGTTTTCTTATTTTCAATTTTAAACATTTGTTGTTGAATCTAATCCAAATCACAGGAATAGACGGTATATTCAAAAGCTTTTTTTTTCTTCAGTTCTTATAAAAAATGTACAAAAATACAAAGTCAAGCAGTCAACGTCATGTTAGCGTTATTCCAATTCGAGAGAATACCACTAGAGAACTATTTTTTGCATGTGATCGCTTTAGCAAACATGACGGAATTATTCACACTAAAAACATTCTAATGCAATCGTTTTCTGTACGCCACTCGAAAATATTGTGTCACTTATTCAAAACCGCAAAACAGAATTGAGCCTGTCCCATTTCTCGTTATTGATATTTATTACTCTGGAAAAAAAACGTCTGAGATAAAAACGCCATTGTTATCATATACTGATAGGGATAACATTTATTTATTTCCCGAATTTCTCCGATAAGCATTTACTGTTTCTGGTAATTGTTCCTCCCAAATAATCTACGTTTTTCCCTGGAAAAACGAGACTTTCGATTAGGAATATCGGCGCACCAATAATAACATCTTATTAGTAAGTTTCATTTCCTTCTGTTCATTGACTTGCAATTGCGCCCTAAGTGACTAGTTCTGTATCGTTTGACATTACTAATTGAATTCGCATGTAAGTTTTAAATGCTATATTTATATCTCTATTTATTGTTGTTTGTAATCGAATATTGTAACTCTGTTGAACTAATTTCTGATTTATAATTTAAATAAATTACTAAGCAGCCGTTTTAAAAATTTTGTAGTTATACATAGGAATTTTATTTTTGACTGATAAATTAAAAGCAGTCGTTTTTTGTATTTAAATGCCTGAGTTGTTTTTGTCATCTATTTCGTCGAAGATTAATGATTTGTTGTTATGACAAAAAATTATTAGCAGTATAGTAATTGTAAAAAGCGTAGTTCATTAAAAAAACTTTAATCACAATAATAAAAAAATTAAACTCAATTAATTTTTTATATAAAATTGATAATCTTTTTTTAAAGATTGCCTACTATGAAATTTTGTTTAAAACTGATTTAAGTTTGATTGGAAAAAAAAAGTCGCCATAATAAAATAAAATTCTAATTAGATTGTAAGAAGTATTTTTTGATTTATAGTGTTTTGAAAATAATTTTCCATTTATTTTCATAATTAAATTGAATTTATAGGAATTAATAAATATTTTTTTTTGAATAAAATTGTGGGAATCATAGTTGTGGTTTTTATTAATGTGCTTTTCTTTACTTTCGCTTATATAAACCACAACACTACGTTTTTTTTTTTTTTTTTTTTTTTTTTTTTTTTTTTTTTTTTTTTTTTTTGATCGTTTTCATTACATAGAGAGAATATTAATAAAATATTCATTTTTAGGAATATGTTTGCATAGATATATAAATATATGCTTTCTTATTCTGTGAAACGCAATAATAGATTTCTAATAATTACATTTTTCTTCTATGTTTTCTTTGGAGGTCAGAACCATATTCTGATTTATTTTTATAATATATAGATAAGAAAGTAGATAAAAACTAGTGGGCTGTGCCCCCTGCTCGCTAACGCTCGCCAACCCCCAAAAATTGCTACGCAATCTTATATGGTTTGCTTCGCAAACCAAGCTCGCTTTGCTCGCTACTAACTTTGGTACATTGCAAATGCACAAAATTCTAAGAATTCAAAACAATCATTCAAATCCATATAACAACTTTTTTTTTTAAAAAAAAATTCATCTTTTTTGTAAATACTAAGTCATTAAAATAAATTTGAATACAAATAAATGACATGTAATGCGTTAAACCTATTAGAAATGTGCTATAGTATAAAATCTTAAGATAAAATTTCTAAAACTGATATCTCTTTAAAAAGATTAAAATTTTGGCTATAATTAAGTCTATTAAAAATTTAAATAAGAGAAATTGCAATGGAAAAACCCTGCATAAACAAAACATTGAATTTCGGAAGAAATCTCGTTTGGTGAGAATGCTCTCTCTTGTCAAAAAATACAAAATAAACTGACCTCAAATAAAACTCCAAGGACTTCGAATCAAATAATTAAGGAAACTACTATCACGTTTAATATAAAAGGAAGATTTATTAACTAAACAATAAAATTACAGCATCGCAGTTCCAAAAAACAAATCTCACACTCACTCAAAAAAACAATTTACATTCTAATTAGTCATCATAGCAACCACAAAACTCTTCTCGTTACCATCTATAAACTGATATATAATAAATAAATTATTTAACAAAAAATACGATGCGCATAAGCACATCACATAATATTCAGTTTCCGTTTTTAGAAGCGCTATATGTTGAGCCACCTATTCTAGATTTGGCATGTGACATTTTCAGCTGCAATCATTGGTTGATTTTCTAGCGTTGCCATTCGGGGAGTTGTAATGAGGCTTTTTTTTATAGCCGTGTAAGAGAAATATATATATAGATGTCTTGCTGGAACAAAAAAGATAATTAAAAATAGCACATTTTTTTAGTGTGAATTATTGCATTTTGTAGAGATGAATTTTTAAATTAATAAATTTAGAACGTTTCTATAATATAGTATAATGAAAAAAATCACATGGAATTACAGAGTACTTTTGTTTACACAATTATTGAATATTTCAATTTGTTTAATTTAAAGTAAATGATTAGTTTAGTTGGTTGAATGAATAGTTTTTATTTCATTCAAAAAATTTTATTTGTAAAGGAAGTAGTTATAATCCTTCTATTCGCAGTTATTTGGGGAAAAGAATTTTTTTTTTATATATATGGCGAATCGGTTGTGGTCGGTCGGAACTATATGATTTCGCGGCCCGGAAGGTTGTAGTATTAGTATGTTGTATCAGTATATATTTATTATTGAATTAACTTATAGCTTAGAGTATTTCTAATATTAATTTATTTAAAAATGTATGATTTAATCTAAGCTACAAGTTTTCAAAAAGTTGCTATAAAATGAAAAGGAATCGGTTACCGACTCTTAAGGTTTGAATTAAAAGGGGCTTCTAAGAATCACCGTTCTTAATTTACATTTTAAAACCAGTCAAAAAAATAAGTTATAAACTGAGGGCGGAATATTAGTAAGAAAAACAAGCGTTTTTAGACGAATCACTATCAAAGAAGGTTGGAATAAAAACGCTACAACCAGTTTCATGGCTCAATGAACCGCTGTTTTTATTGGGCCATCAAGCTGGTTACGGCATTTCTAATAACCGCCTTTCAACTTCTATTTCTCCAAATAATCAAACAGGTTTTAGCGATTTATATATATGTTAAAAGCAGTGGTTGCGAGAGCACTCTGTAAATGCGAAGATACATAAAATACGAATTAGAATATCAGATTTTATTTGAGTCTATTATTATCACTCCACAATATATTATTTTGCAATTGCGTGTTCTTTTATAAACTTATCTAAATCCATCTTTCCATTTCAGATAGTTTGTGGATGAAGGACTACTTAGGAGCCTCTTCTATCGACTCCTGTCTCCTAGTCACCGACAGTTGATTTATCTTGAACTACCGCCATGTTGACTACTAGTCTGTCAGTTCTAGATTCCGCCTTCAGCAGTCCCGCCGCTTCTTGTCCAGCCCTAGAGCAAGAGGAAGTCCTCAACCTTTTTCTGGTAGATCTGCCGGTCATCGAGTCTTCTTTGATCGGTGGGCCTTTCGTCTCCGTCAAAGACATCAACTGGGATCTGGTCTCTCCCAAAGGCTCCTCCTCCTCTCGTTGCAAAAAGACCAAACAGACCCTCAAGTCTGCGATGAATCACGCCATCGAGCCTGAAGAAGACCTTAAGAAGCTCATCAACAACGAGACCAAACTGAGACTTAGCGGATATTACTACGGCAATCTAAGCTGGGTGGACGCTTCACATATTCTGAAAAAGACCAAAGTCGGGACGTTCCTGGTGCGCGATTCCGAACATTGCAACTATCTTTACGCCTTGTCTGTTCAGACCAGACGAGGACCAACAAGCTGTCGGATAGAATATGAAAACGGTTGCTTCAGATTGGACTCGTCCGATGATCTATCCGACAAAATGCCACGGTTTGACAGTGTCACAGACCTTATAGACCATTACGTTCATTTGACGCAGAACTTGCCACAAAAACCTACCACTAAAAACTTGTCACCAGTGTGGCTAGATATGGACGAAGAAAACAGCAGAGACGTTCCCGTACAAATATACAAGCCTTTGTACAAGAACGTGCGCAGCTTACAGCATATGTGTAGGGTCAATTTAGTGAAATTGCAAAAAGAGGGATCTCTTCGGACAAATGTTAAAAATAGTGCATGTGATATGCTACCCACAATGTTAAAGAACTATTTAAAAGAATATCCTTACAGCCAATGACATCATAAGAAATTTAGTTTAATTTAATAATTTTCATGTAATATGAGAGAAAATAAATGTGCACGCAATTTATCCCGATAATATTTTCAAAGAAACTGTTCTGTATAGTTGTGTTAAATAACATCGGAAAAAGTCTAAAATATTTTTTGTTTTTCAACTATACTAATTTTTCCTCCTAATTTTTATACACTTTTTTATTACGCAAGTGCAACAAAAAACGAATTTTAATAAATGCCATTTGATTTTACAGTGTAATTTTGTACAGTGACTACTGAATGATTGTACAACTTTCGATTATAAATCGTTCCTAAATATTCTGCTTCCCATGATTCATTAAGTGGCCTATTTAGAAATAAAAATTTTTGTTTGAAAACTTCAAGTGTTCATGATTGACTGTCAAATTTCCAAAAGTGCCATTAACTGTCCAAAATCTATCCGTAAATTGTCCTTATTTCCTGGTCATCCATAACTAAGTTTGGTAAAAAATATCTTTTTATCTTTTTTTTTGGAGATGTGAGCAAAAAATTATTAGTTAAAATATGATTATTTAAACTGCTATGAAATGCGGGTAGGTTCATTGTTTCATATCTGCATTATTCTAAATTAAAGAATGAATTAAAACTAATTGATTTTATTCCTTCTGTCTTAAACTATTCAAGATAATTGCTGCGAACAATGCTTAATAGTTTCAAAAAACTGTAACAGAAAATAAAATATCAATAGCTTAAATTAAAATGGAATCTCATATAATATAATTTTAAAAATTCATGACAAATCTAGTTTTAGTCATTCAAAAAAAAAAGGAAAATCAAAATTTAAATTCAAAGTTTTATAAATATTTGATTTAGATTTGATGAATTCAGCTATTTAATTGTAATTATATAATCTTAAAAATATAATTAATTGTGAGTTAATATATGACATTGAACTTTTAATTTTACTCTAATTGTTTTTTCTTTATTAAACATTCAAATTTAAGCATTAGTATAAAAAGTCAAAATAATTGTTTTAATTTACAGTATAGTTATAGTGTTTTAGCTATTTTCACTGTTATAGGTTTTGGACACTATAACACACTTTTGAACAGTAAATTTCCTCTTGTATTGTTTAATAACCCTACTCTGGGTTCATTGTATTGCTATTAATTTAAACTGTTTTGTTAAAAACAGAGCTTAAATGTTTTCCCTAACCTGTATTCAATTTTTTTTCTAAGGGACCAAAGGATGAATCAGGAATAAATTTGTTTGTAAAATTACTAAAATTATATTTTATAACACTATGTGCAACCAAATTAACCAACAGTGCAACTAAATTTGGTCTTCATATGCTTGAGTCGAGGAGATATGAAATTCATAACTTCAAAGTGATTGATTAACATCTTGAATCTTTTCTTACTATTTAAAACAGTACTTCAGTTTAATTTCTAATGGTTCACAAGTTTGGTTGAGTAATTATTACACTCGCTAGTTAGCTAGTAGTTTGGATTTTTACCAGTATTTATTATATTTATATCGGCAGAAATTTTACCATAATTTCTTTAATTATTAACAAACATTTTTCTTTTTAAAAGATTATTACCATTTGTTTTACATACAATAGTAACTATAACTTATTTGGATAAATGATGAAATCCTTGCATAACGAAGTTTTAAGAAAGCTTAAATTATTTTTGCTCTTTCATCTATTATGCCACAATTAATAAATATTGTAAAATATGAAATAAATATTATTTCTCGATTTATAATTTTTCGTTAAATCAGACTCGTTATAGAAAGCTTTCAGTGTTGTTACAATGTGAAGTGTTATTAAAGAGAATATTTTATTAAAGTTAACATTAAAGTTGGGAAATATCTTAAAGTCTATCAAATTTCAGGTTTTAAAAAAATGTCAAAATTGTCTGCGTCACGCATAAAAAGTTACATTCTAAATCTTACTGAACTAATCCTAATAGAGTCTTAGAACACTATATTTCACTAAAATTCAAAACTGGACATGCCATTCTTTATATTTTTAAAATCGTTTTTTAAAAAAATGCTATTTTTTAAAATCGTTCTTTTATAAATGTTATTCTTTTCACTTTAAATTAAAAAACAGCTCTACATAACATATCATAACGTTTTATGAATTGCAAATATTATTTATCCACACTGTTTTACAAGTTCAGCATCGTTTGCATTCATATATAATTAATATAAAATAGCAATGTTTGGAAACTAAAATGATTCTAAAACTGAATAATCTTTATTATTTTAAACTTGTGTTGCAGAATTTTTTTTTGTAGACAACAACCGTATCAAGTTTTTGTATAGCCTTAAAAGTAAAAGAACCAGTTGCGCCTAAGATTAAAGAAAAAAAAAACTCTGTTCCAAATAAATAAAATATATTCAAAGAACGTTTTGTGTTTCAAATCCGGCTATGAATATGTTACGTTCACATTTAATGCATCATCAAAAAAAGAATTGGTCTGATTCGAACAATGCTACCATACCTAGAATTTTATAGTACCGGAATAATAAAAACTGAGATGAGACTACCGACCAATTTTTTGCATTTGGAATGGTCTGCTGAATTTCTTTTGCTGAAAAGACTTCTAAGAAAACGATCTTTTGTTTCTAACAATGAGAGCGAGTAGGTCAGCACTCTGATAGAATAAGGTCAACTTCGATTTCTTAGAACTCTCTTTCTCAGCTTCTTTATGTGTGTACTTCAGATCACGTTTTTTCCCAGTTTCGTGTTGCCATTCCAAAGAAATGCTATTTTAGAAGTCATTTCGTTAGAATTTTTCTTTTAGAATTCGTATGTGCAGTGGAAAAATAACAATAAATAGCAATGTAATTTTTTATGGTGCATTGTCTGTAGAGTGTTTTTAGGATTATTTTTCTGGTTTAATATTAAACGTAATATTAATTATATTTCGTTTCGAAATTACCAATTTTATCGTTCGTACATTTCACATCAAAATACAAACGATAAAATTTTTTTCTTCTTATTAGTATTTTTAATGAAATTTCTAAGAAATCCTAAAATGTCCTCAATCTTAATTAATATATTACTTTTGTCAACTATTAGAATTTTTTTTTTCAAATTGAAAACTAGTTTTATATGAAAGGAGAAAATATTGTCTGTTTAGATTTATACTTATTTTTGTCATAATTTAAGCATTTATGGTTGTCTTAAAATGCAGACATTTTTTTAATACTGGAAATTTATTTTAATATGAAGGGGTTGTAAGCAATGGAGTAACAAGTCATGATATTTTTTCATCAAATGTCCTTAATATTGTTTCCGGATTGATGCTTCGCAAGATTTCGAAATTTACTCTAGGTGGCTAACTTAATTAAAAAGCTACATCCGTGTAACATATCAATATTCTTTTATTTAACTTGGACTCAACCTTTTTTCAAACAGGTAGTTAAAATACTCTTTATCATTTTAAATAAAGGTAATTTAATTCTGTAAAAATATTAATGTGGTTGACCGTTGTTATTTTGTTTGCTTATTTAACTCATACATCAACATTCTATTAAGTGTCTTCCCATTTCTAAATATCCTTATTTGCTTTTTAACGCAAATCAATAACACATCGTACAAAAGATGTTAAAATATCAATTATTCTTATCGATGTTAATGATTAAATTTTAAACACTTCATTTGACTATACTACACTTGATGTTCTCCAAACACCGCCCTTGTTATGTATATTTTTAGAATTATGTTTATAATATAGACAGATATTTGACGATGATATTCCGAATTTAAGAATATAATGAATTTTCATCGTAAAAAATTTCAAAAACAAAATTGTTCTCAAAATTTTAAATGTTTTTGCTTCCTTTATTTTTCTAACAAGCAGTAATTAATGGAACAAGCGTAATTTATTTATTATCTGTTAGTTAATCGTGTACATTCCTTACAATGTGCAGTTCATTTTTGATAAGGATTCTAAAAATACATATGAAAGGCGGTGGTATGATCATTCTTTGCTGTAATAAATTGATTCATGCAAACTTATATCAATTCATGTTATTACTTTTTTGGCTTAATTAAAAAGTGATGTAAAGTATGTGATTCGTTGTAAATATATGTTGTGTAAAAAAAGAAAAAGTCGTGCGCCACATTACAGCATTATTGTGATGTACTGGGCAATATTATGCACAGAGCTGTGGTATTTATTTTTAAGTCTGACCAACGAGATGCATGCAATTGTTCATTGTTGGTGTACAGTTGACCTTAATGTCTGTTTGGCTTTTGAAGACAAACTTTCAAAATAGCCAAAATAAAATTATTTATATTTATCTTTTCGTGTGTTTATTTGAACTAAAACTAAACAATAATACATAAATGTAGGTAGTTTGAATTCTATTCATTTTAATTATCGCATTAATTTTTTTAGCATGTCAATGTCAATTAATATTTTAATATTAATATGTTTAAAGTTGTCAATTTGTAATAAATCCATGATATTCTACAACTGTGTAATTCACTTTTTCTTTCTGATTTCAACCGTTTCTGAGGTAGGAATGCTAAATCCGTAATTTTGTTTACCATAAGGTGTTGTAAGGGTGTCCTATTAGGCATGGGATAGTAACTTTACTATACCTAGTCACCAATTTTATAACTTAAGCTGGACCGTTTCGAAAGTTAGGAGTGTGGACACGATCTTCAGTGTATAACACCTTGTTAACACTTTGAGTAAAAACACGCAGTCGGGAAGCTATTGATACTTGCATTATCATACAACACACATAACATATTATTACTAATATTTGAGTTAAGGCTGTTTTTCGAAGTCTTCGTCGTCATAAGAAATGATGCTTTTTTGCGAATAATATGCAATTTTCTTAATTGCTGTGAGTTTTCAACAATTACTCATGGCTGTTAGGACAAGTTCAGCCTATCTAAAGCTACATGCTGTCTATGCTTGTTCTGAAAATGGCGCAAAACATCAATATGGAGAAAAGCCACAGTTTTATGGAAATGAAAAGTGCTTGGGGTATTTTTTTTTTTTTTTTAAAAAAAACTTCTCCCAATGCTGCATTATTTGGGCTCATAAAAATTTGCAAATACTGAGAATAATGTAGTGATTTTGATAATTTCCATCAAGGTGGAAAAACGTCGCCAAATTAGCGATTTTTAAAAGAGTTTAATGACTTTTTAATAATTAAAGTTATTCGTCCGGTCTAAAGCCCAGATATTTCTTCATCATTCTGCTTCTATGTGAACAATTTTTTTTTTATTTTCCTGTGCGACAGAGCTCCGAAAAATCATGTTAATTTGGTATGCGGAAAACAATCGGAGTTTTGATTGATGATCACGTTCCCATTGACGATAATATCGTCATCGCTGACAGAAAACGATTTAAATTTGCATTCAGTACAGAGCACCAATCAATTTTTTAGTATTCTAATCAATCGGAGTGTGGTCGCTATTTTAATTGGCAATAAATTCTCTTTGGTGATAATATCGCTAGTAATTTCTGCTTCGAATTGATTGAAAATGGCATTGTAAGCAGGCACAGAGGTTTGAGTGCTCTGGCTGTTTGCGAAGTAGACGGAATTTAGATTGTAAGATTTCATCGTTAAACTCAAGACAGCACGGCAAAAAAATTTCGATAATACGATAGACACAAATTTGCATAAATTACTCTGTCTAGATGATGCATGAAGTGCTTAGATTTGCTTACTAAGTAATTAAAATGTCATACTACAATTTTGTAATAACCATTTTATTTTAGATGTCATTAATCTGATTGAAGTTTGAATAAAGATGACTTGATAAAGGACATATTAAATATTTTCCCAGCTGTTCATCACTTTCTTCAGTTTCGTAAATAGAAAATTTCGAAAAATTTACGATTCTTGGCAAATGAACTTGGGGTTTTTGAGGGAGGATGGAAAATATAAAAATATATTATCAATCAATTTCATTAACTTTTTTAAAATAAACAAATGATGGATATTTACTTTGCATGGCAGTATTTTTTAAAACACGTAAAATATAATGTAGTCGCCCAATTACAATGGGAGATATAAAGCGAACCTTATTTTAGACTTTTATCGGAATTTTTTTCGATAAAATTAGTACAGTGGTTCCCAATATTTTTCAGCGACGGAACCCTAAACGATCGAGCTTATTTTGGTGGAACTTGTGACTTTCAAAAATAATTTTATTTCTTGACTATGACTTTCAAAAAACGTTCATTAGTAGGTGTTAATATGAAAACGAAAGAAAAAAAAACTTTAAATTAATTCAGAAACCTTTAATGTAAATCAAATGTTTTTATTGTTTTGTCAATAAATCTAAAAATTCGGTTTTATGTTAAGGAGTTGAATTCGCATGTCTGAGAGGCTGCGTTTTTGCAGAATAAATTAAGCCGAGTATTTTTGCCGTTTAAGTAGAAATTGAATTTTTGAAAAAAGAACTTCTAAAATGTGAGACAGGGTATAAAAAAAATTTTATTCTTGAATTTTGAATTAATTTCCATGTGAAATGCTGATGCAATAATTTGTAAATGTACACTGGTGGACAAAATTAAGAGATGGAAGACATTTTCCCAAATATCTCAAAAAATACTGAATATAAATAAATGAAATTAGGTATGGATATAGCTTATTCCATGATAATAAAGTATGCAAAACAAAAGTGAAAGTGCCATTCACTGGCAAGACCTATTGCCAATAAAACCAATGTAGTCTGAACTTAAGGATAAAAGTGAGGCTTGTACAGTGTGTGTTGCCTCTAGTATGGTCACCCCTGACAGACAGACAGCATGCACAACGAGTATGCATGCTGTTAATAAGGGAGTTAAGGAGGACTTGTGGAAGACCCTCTCATTCTTCCACCAGAGCAATTTTTAACTCCAGAATGGTTCTGGGGGAGGTTGGCGCATCGCAATAGCTCTCCCAAGAGCATCCTAAGCATGCTCAATAGGATTCAGGTCAGGGGATTTGGCTGGTCGATTCATTCGCTGAATATCCTCGCTTTCCAGATACTCATCAACCATGAGAGCCCTATGTGGTTGCACATTGACGTCCATAAAAACGAACTGAGGGCTAACAGCGCCTCTGAAAAGAAGCACATAGGGCTCTAGGACCTCCTGCCTGTACCTCTGGGCATTCACGGAACCATTGTCCAACACATGGAGCGTTGTTCGGGTATCTTGCATGATCCCTGCCCAAACCATGAGTCCTCCACCAGCATAACGGTCCCTTTCGATAGTGTTGCTGGGATGGTATCGGGTTCCAGGTTCCTTCCATATCAATAACCGTACAGAATCAGATTGTAGACTGAATCTGGACTCATCGGTGAAGAGAACATTAGCCCATTGAAGCTGTGTCCAATTCTGATGTTGTCTTAATTTTGTCCACCAGTGTATATACATCGTTTAGCAATTTCTTCAATGTATTGTTATTGGAAGAAAAAATATGTGTTTTAAAACTTCCTCTTGCGATTTCACATAAATAATTTCATAAAAATAACCTAAATATTAAAAAAAAACAATGGATTATTGGTTTGATACAAATCTGTAACAGGTTTCAAACAATCATTATTGGTTTTAAAAAAATGTCTTAACTCACGGAGCTCCCGTTACTTTTCAATGGCGGAACGCCACTTGGGAAACGCTGGTTTAGTATACATTTAGGTGTTTTTAGATCATTGAGAAGTATCTTTGCTTTTCGTTATTTACGTCGAAAAAATATTTATTACTATTTAAATTGGTATATCCTATGTTTAAACAATGCTAAAAACAATTTTTTTTTTCAAAAAGCACATAAATGTACTGTTTATACATACCATAATTATCTCGAATTTAATCGCTTTTCATTTTTGAGAAGTAAAAAAAAAACATCCTTGGATATCCTTAAAAGTCACCAAGTGCTATTTCTCTAACTCTTAGAACGCAGCTTACGTATTTTTTCCCTTTATTTCAAACCATTTCCCTGTTATTAAATAATGCTTTATCATTGGAAGATTTCTAAGAAACAGTAACCAATAAAAGAGAAAAAAATCAGTTTGAAATCTCTTAATCTTGGATTTTAAGTAAAATTTTTGATTATCGTCTTTTTTTTAAATTTATTTATTTTAAATTACTTATTTTTATTTAATTTTTCGAGCTTCTATAGATTTTACTTTCTTAATAATTAAAAGCAATAAAATTATGCGATTTGTTGTTTTGAGAGAGTAATTTTAATATTCGTCTGTTTTTAGATTTCTCAAAGTTTAATTTTATTACTTAAACTAATGAAAACTGATTTGTATAATTACAGAGAAAAATATTTTTACAGTAAATTACACAAAAATTATTAAAAAAAAAATTTAAATCTAAAAACTAATAATGTATATCTATATCTATATATATATAGAGAGAGAGTCTTAAACTTCTGAAAAATACTGATTTGTGAATTGTGTTGGTATAATTTTATCAGAAAAAAAGTCTATAACAGCGGTTCCCAAATGGCGTTCTGTGAGCTGGGGCTATTTTTTTTAAACAGTAATGATTTTTTAAACAACCTGTAATAGGTTTGTATCAATCAATAATCCATAATTTAATATTAAGGTTATAATGAAATTATTTGTGTAGACTTGCAATAAAAAAGAAATAGTAATTTTAGCAACAACAACAAAAATTTCAATAAAAATATATTGAAAAAAATTCTAAAAAAATAAGAATTTGCAAATGATTATTTCTCATCGAGCTTAGAAATTCAAAATAAAATGAACAAATTCAAGAATAAAATTTTTTTTTCTCTGATAACCAGTGTTACAGTTTATAACAGTTTTTTTTTTTTCAATAATCTTAATTGAGATGATTTTATTCAATTTTTACTTATACAGCGAAAACGTAGCCGCTGCAGGCTAGCGAACTACCCGACATAAATCCAAGATTTATTGATGGTAGAATTAAAAAATTTCATTCGCATTAAATATCTCAGAATTAATTTTAATTATTTTTTTGTTCGCATATTTACACATGCTAATGAACCATTTTTAAGAGTAGGGGTCCAAAGGTCTAAATACCGCACACTTTATAACTCAAATTGTGATTAGGTGGCGATCTTGCATTTTACCCGCATCTAAATATATAGGCGAATAAAATAAAAATCCGCCATTAGTTTTTTTTTTTTTTTTTTGTTTGNTTTTTTTTTTTTTTTTTTTTTTTTTTTTTTTTTTTTTCTTTGAAAAATAAATATTAGTATTAAAAGCATTTTTAGAATTTTCCCTCTTTGTCTCCATCCCTTCAACATTGAAGTTCGGTCAAGAACTAAAAGAAAAGCATCTTAAGGTGATAAAACTC